CATAGAAGGATAAAAGATCTTCACATAAAAGACCGCGCTCACGTTTCGTGTTTTGTTTCACTGTCAAACATCCTCAGTTTGGAGTAGAATCGTATTAGAAACGAACAACGCTTGTAACTTATTGTTTTTTTTTTTTATCAAAATGCGTATGGTCAGCTCTTTTATCGCTCAATGGGGTCAATAAGCGGTATTATCAATTTTGGAGTGAAGATCAGCCAGAAGCATTGCAAAAGCTCCAATGCATCCACAAAACGTCACCGGTTTATGGACTGGTGACGTCATTAGATGCTGAGATTCGTAACGTAACTTTGAATGGTGAGCGCTACCGTGTGAAGATATCCAACTTTTTTTTGTCAAAAATGCAAGAGCATGACATGTGGTTTCAACAAGACGGAGCCACATGATGCACAGCAGACCTAAAAATGGGTCAGATTCGGAAAACCTTTTATTTCACGTTCAGGACCGGTGAATTTGCAGGCTACATCATGCGATTTAACGCCCTTATACTATTTTTTGTGGGGTTATGTTAAAGCTCATATCTATATAGACGATCCCGCTTCGATTGACGTATCGGACTATCAGTTCAAAATATATTTCAGTCATTTTTCGAATTTTTTCCTTAAGTTTTTAAAAAATAACCTTTAGACCACACTGTACTTATGTCTTTCCCTAGATATTCTGTTCATAGAAGATCTTTTTTTATACATTTTCTTATTTCTCAAAACGTTTCATTTTTCCCTTTAATAAAATTTTATTTTGCAAACACATCAACATTATATTGCGTGGCTAGCTGATACAACTCCAACATTTGATTGGCCAATTCGTAATCAACGATATCACCACCTCTATGCATGATATCCTGGAATACTTCCTCTCTAGTGGGTTTGGCGTTCAGCATTTGTTCACCCGACTGGCCATGGGGTTCGACCATTTCCAACAGGAATGCCGAAGTTATCAAAATACTATGGGGTAAAAATCGAATATATTCTCTGATCAAGGCATCCGGGCTGAAAAAACAAACAGAGATTTTTCTAGAACACATAAAATCGATTTTATTTTCAAATCTTACCTCAAATATTGTGGCAATGGTTGTTTGGCAAATTTTTCATAATTCTCTTTCAAATTTTGACAATAGGTTTTAAATATCTGATCGTAATTAGGTTGACGTATATCCGTAACGGTTGACAGGGCCAAGAAAAATGTCAAATCAAACATTGGCGAAGATACCCTTAACGTTTGTAAATCAAACATCATGATATCGAGGGGCGTGTTCTCCGAAATTCCTGCCCCTTTGCCATATTTGTAGGCCACATTATTACGCAAATAATCCCCATGGCAAAGGGTTATATAAGGCTCCTTGGGCTTAACCAGCTGCCGGCCATAGGCCATTGGTTGAGTTAATAATTCCCTAAAATTTTCCAAGAATTGTTCTGGTATCTCTTCGAAATATTCTTTTGCCCGTTGTATCACTCTCTCTAGGCCACATTCCAGTGTCATGGCCCATTTGTCTTGTACCTCGTCTCTGCCATACCGTGACTCCATTAATCCCTCAGTTAGTTGTGTAAATTGTTCTTTATTTGTATGGCTCATGGCAAAGCCAAGAGCATGAAATTTGGCCAAATATTTCACTGCCATAAGAGTGTGAGCGATGCAAAGGCCAAATTTATCTTCAGTAAGCTGCCAACCATTGGCGCCAAAATCTTCGGTTATAACAATGGCCGAGTTGTTGTTTAAAATGCCATAATAATAGCGTGCTGTATTGAGAGAAACTCCTCCGAATTTTTCCAGGGCTGGTATTATCTTTTCATAGGCCAAAATTTCATTGTTGAAGAGGGCTTTGAAACTAACCGCTTCGAATATTTGCTCCGGCATGGGTGGTGTTTTCTGAAACAGAGAATTTACGAGAGATCTTAAAAAAAAAAACAAGGTAAAAAGTATCAATCGATTTTGGATCTTGTGTTAATGGAAATATTAAGATGTACCAAGTCTGAATCGAATCGGATGTTAATATCGCTTTTTATTTTACTTTATTCAAAAGTTTGACCCCTTTGTGGGGGAGGTACCAGAAGGAGTGGTCCCATATATCCCATCTTCACAGCATATCTTGTGTTAGCTGAAATAATGGGATGTGTGAAATATGAAGAGAACCAGATGCTTATTTCGGATTATATAATCGTTTTGTTTATTCAAAACCTTGAGCCTTTGTGTGGGAGGTACCAGAAGAAATGCTCCTATCTCTACCATCTTTGTAACAGATCTTGTGTTGATGGAAATATTGAGATGTACCAAGTCTGAATCGAATCGGATGTTAATATCGCTTTTTATGAGCTTCATGGATATTCAAAATTTTGACACTTTGTGGGGGAGGTATAACAAGGAGTGGTCCGATATATCCCATCTTCACAGCAGATCTTGTGTTAGTAGAAATAAGAGAATGTGTGACAAATGAAAAGAACCGGAGGCTTATTTCGGATTTTATAATCGTTTTGTTTATTCAAAACTTTGAGCCTTTATGGGGGAGGTACCAGAAGGAATGTTCCGATCTCTACCATCTTTATAACAGATCCTGTGTTGATGGAAATCTTGAGATGTACCAAGTCTGAATGAAATCGGATGTTAATATCGCGTTTTATGATCTTCATGGATATTCAATATTTAGACACTTTTTGGGGAAGGGAGCAGAAGGAGTGATCCGATATATCCCATCTTTACACCAAACCTTGGTCAAAAAAAAAAAAAAAATATTGCGATGTGTGTAATTTGAAGACAATCCGACTCTTAAATCACACTTTATAAGAGTTATAATCATTTAAATTATTCACAATTTTTGGGGGTGATACTTGATGGTGTAGACCGATATTGTCCATTTTCGCACCTGACCTAGCACTGATGCAAATATAAGGATTCGCAAAGTTGGTAGAAAATCGGATTATCCTTTCTCTTTCTGTGTAGTAAATTATTTTCTTTGAAATTGTTGACATTTTGTGTAGGTATTAGAAGGAGTGAACCGATATTGCCCATCTCCGAACTCAATCTGAGTTTGATAATAATATTACAATATACGGAGTTTGGACCAAATAGGATACTCTCTTCGAGAGTTATCATGCCCACCAGCCAGAAAGTTAGACATACAGACGTACATCGCTAGATCGATTCCAAATGTCCTGAAATGGATTTGGTCCAAAGAGACCTAGGGTCTAGAATATTTGTTTCATTATTTTCAGGGTGAGATGAAAAAAAAAACAGCAACCAACTTCAGACTGCTGTCATTTCTAAGCCACTCGTCCGACAGCTGTTAAAATTATTCCAGTGACAACTCATTATATTGTTTACAAGCGTACAAAAGCATTTTGGTGAGAATTTTCCAGAAGAAAAGTTATTCGTGATGGAATTCAAGCGTGATAGTGTGATTTCTTTATATTTGGCTGGAACACCACAAGTGGCTATCGTTAGAACACTCAAGGATTTAAATGTGGATAAATCTTTTGTGTCTCGTACCATCGCTCGATACCGTGATACTGGTAGCGTAGCCCGACGTCAAGGAAGAGGACGGACGAAAACAGCAATATCAGCAGAAATGGTTCGAAAAGTAAAGAAACGACTTGATCGAAACCCGCGTCGCAGGGGCCGAAAAATGGCTGAACATATCGCAATATTCCATTCGGTAAATATTGAAAATTGAGCTCGGGTAAAGCCGTTGAAATTCCAAAAAGTGTAAGATCTTGCACCACAACAGAAAGAAAATAGACTCAAAAGAGCTAAAGAGTTGCATCGCTTGGCCGAAAGTGGTGAACTGCCGAATTTGGTTTTTTTTCCGATTAGAAAACATTTGTTGTCCAGCAGTTTGTAAACAAACAAAATGATCGTGTTTACTTGCCAAAGAGGTCAGCTGAAAATGTGCACCTTCGATGGACCTTCAGAACTCCAGTGCCGGCCATCGTGATGGTGTGGGCCTCCATAACAGCCAATGGTTGCTCTCCGCTCGTATTAATTGATCGTGGCGTCAGAATAAATGCCGAATATTATTGCGAAAAAATTCTGGAGGGTGTATTAAAGACTTGGACACGTAAACATTTTGGCTACAGACCTTGGACATTCCAACAGGACTCGGCACCATTGCACTCAGCACCCAAGAATGGTTTCCAAAATAGGTTCCTCTCCGGATACCAATCCGTTGGACTATTGTGTCTGGTGTATTTTGGAAAGCAAGGTTGGCACTAAAAAATACCGAAGTGTCGATCACCTCAAGCAAGCGCTGCGTCAGAAATGGCCCAAAATACCGCAGAGCAACATTCGGGTAGCGTGTGACGGTTTCATTGGCCGTTTGTAGGTCATAATTCATGCCAAAGGTGACCAATTCTAAAATTTGATGCTATTTCCGACATTTTTTTGCTTTCATTCAATAAAATTTATAAATGTAAAATTATAGCATTTGACTTTGTTGTAGTTTTTTTTTTTACCAGAAGATGTGTACCGATATTGCACCTTTCCGAACTCAATCTAAGTTTGATAATAATATTATGATATACCATGTTTGGACCAAATCGGATACACCCTCCGAGAGCTATTGTTTATGACAAATAATTTTGTAGAATATTTTGACTTGCTACGACCCTGTTTAAAGGAAGTTTTTAAGCATATTTTGCGAATAGGACCAAAAAGTTCCCCTTTTTGACTCCATCGAGGTCTAATTTTTTTTTGCCTAAATATCAGTAATTTTGCTGAAGATACTATACACCTAAAGTGAACCGATTCCAAGGAATCTTAATCGGAAAATTGCCAAAAATGTGGAAGATGGGGAATTGGCTGGCCCTCTCTATTTAGCCTACGTTTGAAGTGAATTTTTGAAGCGCGAATACATGTGTCTTCTAATTATTTCAGCATTACTTTCATAACCTACTGTTATTTTATTTTTTTGTATTTTTTTGTTTCCCAGTGTAATCTGCTCTTAAATTAATATTTTTAAACATAACCTAAATTTGAAAAAAAATATTTGAAAATCTTTCAAGTATTAGCACCAATTTTTTTAATTATTTATTTACAATATCACACTCACACACTCAAACAATATTAAACAGAAAAAACATCAACATTATGTTCCATTGAAAGGTCATATAACTCGCTGACTTGATGGGCCAACTCTCTGTCCACAAGTTCACCACCCTTAAACATGATTTCCTCAAATATTTCCTCATCTGTTGCTTCAGCATTTAGCATTTCTTCACTGGACAGACCTCGAGGTGACACCAAATCCAAAAGAAATGTTGAAGTTGTCAAAATGCTGTGTGGCAAAAAGGCAATGTATTCCTTGATCAGGGACTCATAGCTAAGAAATGGAAAACAATTACAGAGCTTCTCTTTTCCAGAAAATAAAAATATTATTGCAAACCTTAAAAATCCTGGTAAAGGCCTTTGGGCGAATTTTTCATAGCCCTCTTTGAGCTGCTGGCAATATGTTCCAAAAATGTCCTTGAAATATTTCTGGCGCACCTCAGCCAATGTTGATAGGGCCAAAAATATTGTTAAATCCAACATTGGCGATGATACCCTTAGGGTTTGCAAATCGAACATCATGATGTCAATAGGCTTGCCGGCATCATATTTATAGGCCACATTGTTGCGCAAATAATCACCATGGCACAAAGTCACAAACGGCTCCTTGGGCCTAACCAATTCCCGGCCATAGCGCATTGGTTTCATTAGGAGATTTTTTAATTTTTCAAGAAATTCTTGTGGAACATTGCGTTGAAATTCCTTGACACTTTTCACCGCTCGTTCCAAGCCATATCTCAATGTCAAAGCCCAACGGTAATGTATATCATCAGAGCCATAACGGGATTCTTGTAAATCTTTGGTGAGAGCTTGAAATGCCTGTTTATCTTTGTGTAGTAGGGCAAATCCAACGGCATGTAATCGCGCCAAATACTTCATGGCCAGTAACGTGTGATCCAACGATAGATTATATCTGGCCTTGGCAATTTGCCAACCTTTACTGCCAAAATCTTCGGTTATAACAATGGCTGAATTGCCTTGCAAGTGGCCAAAAAAGAATCGAGCTGTATTGAAATTTATGCCGGCAAATGCTTCCAAGTTTGGTATAATTTTTTCATAGGCAAGAATTTCATTGGAGAACAGCGCCTTAAAACTCACCGCATCGAATATTTCCTGGGGCATGGGTGGTGTTTTCTAGAATGATGAAATTTGAAATGCATTTTTTTAAATTGGAGGGGAAAGAGACGCCACAAAGGGTCAGGTGCGAAAATGGACAATATCCATCAAGTACCTCCCCCACAAAGGGCCAACATTTTGAATAATTACAACTCTTTTAAAATGTAATGTAAGAGCCCGATATTAACCCAAGGCCTGGTGTTATTATGGAATACATCGGTCCACTCCTTCTGGTACCTAATCCACAAATGGTTGAAATTTTCAAAAGAATATATTTTCTGCACAGAAAGGGAAGCTATAATCCAATAATTTTGCTCTAACTTTGCAAATCGTAATAGTTTCGTCAGTTCTAGGTCAGATGTAAAAATGGACAATATCGGTTCACTTCATCAAGTATCTCCCCCACAAAGGGTCAAAATTTTGAATAATTATAACTGTTATAAAATGTGATGTAAGAGTGCGATTATCTTCAAATTACACACATCAGAATATTTTTATTGATCCAAGGTATGGTGTGAAGATGGAATATATCGATCCTCTTCTTCTGGTATCTTCCCCACAAAGGGTCAACTATTGATGAAGCTCATTAGACACGAAAGTAACATCCGATTCAATCCAGACTTGGCACATCTCAATATTATTATCAACGCAAGATCTATTATTAATATTGTAGAGATCGAACCACTCCTTCTGGAACCTGCCCCACAAAGGGTTAACATTTTTAATAACCAAAAGTATCATAAAATCCGAAAAAAACACCCGGTTCTCCTCAAATTACACACATCACAATATTTCTATTAGCCCAACGTCTGGTGTGAAGATTGGATATATCGGTCTGCCCCTTCTGGGACCTCCCCTACATAGGGTCAACATTTTAAGTATCCATGAAGCCTCACCCACAAAGAGTCAGAATTTCCAATACCTGTCTTGCGAAACAAGTCATATAAAGTATAGGAACTTGTCGATATAGTCCAAACCTGGCACATTGTAATATTTACATATTTACGGCTTCGGAACCTCCCCAATAAAGGGTCAACAGTTTGAATAATCATAACTCAAGGCTGTAGGTATGCATCTGTCGGTAAAACCGACTGATTCTATTTTGCTTGTTTTTAGAATATTTGTACATCGGCGATTTTAAAGCTTTCTATACCCTCCACCATACTATGAAGGGTATATACTTTGTCATTCCGTTTGTAACTCCTCTTATATTCTTTATCAGCGTAAAATTCTAAGTCGATTTAGCAATGTTCGTCTGTCTGTCTGTCTGTTATCGTTCGAACGAATTCAGATAGAAGGCTAAAATTTTGCACACATGTTTATATTTCCAGTAGGCAGGTTAAGTTCGTAAATGGGCCATGTAGGGCCACGTCTTCGTATAGCCCCCATATAACGGTACCTCCCGATATTCGGTATTTTAATGATTTTAGGGACATTATTAACCGGAATTGTTTCAAATTTGGTATTTGAAATTCGAAAGGGATACTACAGCCTAAGACAGAAAATTGTCTGTGCAGGTCCACGTCTTCATATAGCCCCTATATAACGGTACCTCCCGATATCCCGTATTTTGATGATTTTAGCGACATTGTTCATCGGAATTGTTTCAAATTTGGTATTTGAAGTTCGTAACGGGTACTACAGCCTAAGACAGAAAATTGTCGGTGCAGGTCCACGTCTTCGTATAGCCCCCATATAACGGTACCTCCCTATATTCGGTATTTTGATGATTTTAGCGACATTATTTACTGGAATTGTTTGCTATTTGAAGTTCGTAATGAATACTACAGCCTAAGATAGAAAATTGTATGAGCAGGTCCATGTCTTCGTATAGCCCCCATATAACGGTACCTCCCTATATTCGGTATTTTGACGAGATTGAGGTGTCGTATTTGAACTTCGTAATGGATGCTACAGCCTTTGACAGAAGTTGTCTATGCTGGTCCAGGTCTTCGCACAGCTCCGATATAACGGTACCTCCATATATACGACATTTTAATGATTTTAGCTACATTATTCACCGTATATTTCAACTTATCGGATTTGAATATGGTAATGGCTTATGACAAACAATGCATATGCAGGTCCACATCTTGTAGACGCCAATAAAACGGCTATATTCTGTGTTTTTAAAATTTAAACAGAATTTTTTAAGGATTTTATTTTTTGAAAATTTCCAAATTCATTCCAAATGGTGGAGGGTATTCAAAGTTCGGCCCGGCTGAACTTACTGCTTTTTAACTTGTTTATTCTAAAACACTGACTTTGAAATTTTCGGTACTGAAGTCGAATTTTGTCTTCTATGATAATTTGAAAAACATTTATTTGAAGAAAAGACAAATTTCAGTTTTTTTTTCAATTTCAATATTTTTGTTATTTCAACCCTTTGTGCGCCGACTGCATCTATTGATGGAAATTGCCAAGTCATTGCACGGTTTTGTAAATACATCAGCTACCTCTTCAAAACAAAAGTATATTGTTTGTTTATATAGCAATTTGTTGTCTGGGTAAAGCAAATAATATTATCAAAAAAAATCATAGCTGTAATAGCTTGACAATGTTGGACTGCTTATCAGAAAAACGCTGACCAACAAACTACAAAACAAATCATTTCAAACAAAGATTTATCAAAACAAATTAGAATTTCAAAACTAATTATTGAATTAGACTATATGAAAGATGGCAGCAATTGAATGTGGATCCTATACCCCATCCTCAAACTTTTCTCAAAAATCAATTTTCAAAACTACAACATCATCCAAAACTTTGATTTAACAATGCCGGCTCATTGGGAAATTTTCTAAATCATTAAATTTAATTAACAGTACAATAACATGCAAAACACATTCATTCGAAACATCTGTATATAGGTATGTATATGTGGTGGCATGCCTTACCTTAACAAACAATTTCAGTTCCTCTGCTGCACCCTTATATTCGTAAGCGATGCGAGCCCGATAACATTGTGTCAACATGAAAGCTTCTTGGGCGCCAATAAATTCCACACTTATATCGGTTACTTGGAACTTATCCACATCCATAGCGGTGTCATCTTTATTACGAATTTTACCATTCTTAACTAGTTCCGGTATTATTTGATTTTTTAACCACTTCGCTTCTGCATCAGCAGAACTTGAATATTGTGGCGACGACATTTCCAAAGCTTAGGGTTTTTTCGTTTTCAGTAAAATACTTTGTGTAATTAAAGATAATTTAAAATAAAATACGTGACTGTTGTTTTTTGTGACTAGCGCAAAGTGATCTCCTCTCACAACGATTGTGTCGACTGGCTGACGTTAGAACTGCAACTGAATGACGATCTATGAAATGCATTTCGTTTTCTCTAAGCGCTGTGAAGAGTAGTCATTACAAAAAAAAAAAAAATATGAGATAAACACGATAAAGAGATTAGGGGTATTCACTGATAAGAATGTCTAAAAATTAAATTTTGAGTACATGTGTAGATAGATTTGGATGCTGGAAGTCATGAGATGTTCACATGCATCAATTTGTTTTTGAAGATACTCAATTTGCAATCTTATCCAGTAGAAAATGTCAATTCACTTTAAAAGTATGTATACAAGTTTTGAAGTCGATCTAGCGATGTCCGTTCGTCCCTATGTCCGTCTGTCTGACTGGTGAGCACGATAACTATCGAGGGGAGTATACGATTTACTCCAAACTTGGTACATTGTAATATTATTATCAAACTTAGATCGAGTTCGGAGATGGGCAATTTCTGACCACTCCTACTGGTACCTTCCCCACAAAAGTTCAAAATTTTCGAAAAATATTTTACTGTACAAAAGGAGAATGGATAATCCAAATTTTCTCCAACTTTGCAAATCATAATATTTGCATCAGTGCTAAGTCAGGTGTGAAAATGGACAATATCGGTCCACTCCATCAAGTACCTCCCCCACAACGGGTTAAAGTTTTGATAATTATAACTCTTATAAAAGGCGAGGTACGAATCCGATTACACACATCACAATATTTCTATTAACCCAAGGTCTGGTCTGAAGATGGTATATATCGGTCCACTCCTTCTGGTTCCTCCCCCACAAAGAGTCAAAATTTTGAATATACATGAAGCTCATAAGACTCGAAATCAACATATGATTCCATTCAAACTCGGCACATCTCAATATTTCCATCAACGCAAGATCTGTTATAAAAATGGTAGAGATCGGACCATATCTTCTATTATCTCTCCCACCAAGGGTAAAAGTGTGAATAACCAAAACGAATATAAAATCCGAAATAAACATCCTGTAATCTTTATATTTTAGACATCCCATTATTTCTATTAACCCAAGGTCTGGTTTGAAGATGGTATATATCGGTCCACTTCTTCTTGTTCCTCCCCCACAAAGAGTTAACATTTTGAATATCCGTGAAGCTCAAAAAACACGAAATTAGCATCCGATTCCTTTCAGACTTGGCATATCACAATATTTCCATCAATACAAAATCTGTTGCAAAGATGTTAGAGATCGAACCATATCTTCTTTTATCTCTCCCACCAAGGGTCAAAGCTTGAATAAGCAAAACGATTATAATATCTGAAATAAATATCCGGTTCTCTTCATATTTTACACATCCCATTATTTCCACTAACACAAGATCTGCTGTAAAGATGGGATATATCGGTCCACTCCTTATGGCTCCTCCTCCACAAAGAGTCAAAATTTTGAATATCCTTGAAGCTCATTTTACGCATAATTAACATCCGATTCCATTCAAAATTGGCACAACTCAGTATTTCCATCAACACAAGATCTGTAATAAAGAGATCGGACCATTCCTCCTGGTTTTGAATAACCAAAACGATTATAAAATCCGAAATAAGCATCCAGTCCTTTTCATACTTCACACATCCCATTATCTCTACTAACTCAAGATCTGCTACAAAGATGGGATATATCAGTCAACTCCTTCTGGCCCACCCCCCACAAAAAAGGCAAACATTTTCAAAGAAAATAATTTTCCTCATAAAAAAGGAAAATCATCATCCAATTTTATTCTAACCTTGAAGGCGCGATAATGGACATTATCGTCCCATTACTTCTGATACCTCCCCCACAAAGGCCAAAATTTCGAATATTCATAATTTTTATAAAATATGAAATAAGAGTCCCATAGTCTTCAAATTTCGCACAACCCAAAAAAATTCTACCAACATAAGCTATGGAATAAAAAACATCCCCCACAAGTCACATTACAGCCGACTCTTCTGATACCTTCCCCAAAAGGAGTCGAAATTTTGAACAATTAGAAATGTCAGCGATTTTCTTCAAAGATGGTGCATCTCAATATTTCTATCAACAAAAAACCTAATGTAAATATGACATATGTCGGACCACTTTTTCTGGTAACTCACCCACAAAAGTTCAGCAATTTTACACATCTCATGTAAGGTGAAGAGTGTAGTCTATATACTTCAAACCTTGTACCTCGCAATATTTATATTAGTCTTAGGTCAGATGCAAAAAGAACCATATTGAGCCACTCCATCGGCACCTCCCTAGAGTTATTATTTTGAATATCATGTCAAAATATACGGGCATAGACTGAGGGTGTACATCTATCAGCAAAACCGACTGATACTTCGTAATTAGTTTTTTTTTTGTTTTCAGATATTAAAAGCCCTCGAAAATGTCGGTTTCATTTAGCTAAAAATTAAAATTTTTCTGTTCCGGAATTTATTTGAACTGTATTTCCATTGAATACCCCTAAAAATAGAGATAAGAGAGTATCGCAGGTCAGTTCTCAAATGTAATTCAATTCGCTCAAATAAATTTATACGTTAAGGGTTGCCAAGCTGCACCTTTATTACAGTAAATGGGCAAATGTTATTTGAAGAAAGACTACATCATGGACAAATAGGCTGCATCGGCCATTAGCGTTGATTTAATTTTAGTGCCAATATTGGGAAGTGCAAAGGGAGAGGTACCCTGGCTGTGAACTCTAATTTAGCAAAAACTAAGATTTTTTTTTGATATTTTTTCTAGAGGTAGGTATTCTTCCCATTTCGGGAAAGTATTTTTTCTTAAGGAACGGAACCTGAAACCCTTATATTTGTGCCGAAAGTCCGGTTTCTAGACCCGGATCTACAGATATGGACAATATTGGTATCATTTGAAGCTAATGAAAATATCCAAATAACTATCCAACAAGTGGTCACAAGTGATGGGGTTATTTAAAACGGTTCGAGAGTGGCATCAAAAATATCTATTTTTGGACACGGATTTTTAAAAATGTCGGTTAAAAGTTAAAAATGGGTTCATTATGGGAGTCCATAAAGTATGTACTAAATAAAAGCTGACACTCCAAACTAACCCGGTCTTGGATCCGGACTTTTGGGTCAAATATTCGAGTATCCGGGTCCGTCTCCCAAGCAAGAAATATTTTCTTGAAATCAGGGTACAAATAAATAACTCAAAAATTTAAAAAAAGGTGGGAGTACTTCACTCCCTGGAAGATAACAGTATATATAGCTCTACGATATCGTATAGCCCCCACACAGCGGTATCTCCCTATCTTCGGTATTTTGATAATTTTAGGGACATTATTCCACGGAATTGTTTCAAATTTCGTATTTACAGCCCGTTATGGGTATTACAACCTATTATGAAAAATTGTATATGTAGGTTCACGTCTTCATATAGCCCACATATAACGGCACCTTCCTTTATTCGGTATTTTGATGGTATTAGAGACATTTTTACGGAATTGTTACAAATTTCGTAATGGGTACTTTAGCTTATGACAAAATATTACTGATGCCTACGTATAGTCTTTCTTCGAGCGATATTTTTCGATGGCATTTTTTTTTGGAAAATTTTCAAGTTTCTTCCATTCCATTTTCAAGTTCCACCATTTTGGTGGAGAATATTAAGAGTTCGGTCCGGCCGAACTTGCTTGCTTGTTTTTAAATTGTTTTATATTTTTATTAGACTTGAGTATTTTATTTTCATCTAGCGACACAGACCGTCGCTTCGAACAATGGAAAGGGTTTTTGCCATTAAAAAAGGAAAATATTTTTTCTTTACAAACCCATAAAAGTCCCACAAAATATGTTTTAACTCTTGAAATCTGATTCTCTAGTATTCTTTTATAACAACATTTTTTTTATTTAATTTTATTTATCTCCAAATACTCTAAATACAAATATCAACATTATGTTCTTGCACCAGTTCGTACAGTTCCTTCATTTGATGGGCCAACTCACGATCCATTACCTCTCCGCCTCTTGTCATGCAATCTTGAATGATCTCTTCATCCGTTTGCTCTTGAGTCAACATTTCAGCGGCAGTTATTAGCATGGGCTCGACTAGGTCGGGTAGGAACCATGACGATATGTAGACAACATTGGGCAGGCAGCGAATGTATTCCTTGATGAGGGAATCAGGGCTGAAAACAAAGGAGAGAGTTATTACACCACATAATGGTAAAGGGTATTATGTCTTTGTGCATTTGTTTGAAGAAGGAAACGAGATAGACCCATAGTTCCTTTTGGTGATCAGCATAGAATCACATTTTGAGTCGATTTATGCATGTCCGTCCGTCCGCCTGTCCATGTATTTTTGTAAATAAAATGCAGGTCGCATTTATTATTCGATTGAGATGAAATTTTCTAAATAACATTTGTTTGGCTCAAAGACGAACCCTATTGAAATTAATAAAAATCGGTCCAAATTTAGATATAACTCCCATATATATATTCATTCGATTTTAGGTTTCTTGTGCACCAAATGGTCAATATAAGTCCAAATAGTGTGAATTTTGCTACATCCAACCGAATTCGGCCTACAAGTATGTGCTTCCAATTTAGTGAAAATCGGTTCAGATATAGCTATAGCTCCCATATATATCTTCATCCGATTTTAGGTTTATTCTGCACCAAATGGCTAACATTAGTCCAAATGGTGTGAATTTTGCTACATTCGACCGAATTCAGCCTACAATCATGTGCTTCAAATTTTCGGTTCAGATATAGCTATCGTTCCCATATATAGGTTTTTTCCGATTTTGGTGTTTAAGTTCGTTACATTCGTTATATGCACTGATATTTAGCACCAGATATTAGATACAGCCTAGCAATTCATATATCAAATTTAGATTTAATTTTTTTTCAAGTTCGGTTCAGATTTGATTATAGCTCCCGTATATATCTTTATCCGATTTTAGGTGTCTTGTGCACCAAATGGCTAATATCAGCCCAAAGTGAGTGAAAAGTTGCACTTCCAAGCGAATTCCTTCAAGAAGTTAATACTTAGAATTTGGTGAAAATCGCTTCAGATATAGCTATAGCTCCCATATATATGTTTCATCCGATTTGGTGTTTCAATTTAAATATTTTGTACCAGACATCTCATAGAGCTCAGAAATGCCCAATATAAACCTTTCTTTTAAGAGAGCTCAACTAAACATGCATAGAGGTGTAGGGTATTATATAGTCGGCCCCGACCGACTTTTGAGTTTTCCTTACTGGTTTGTCATAGGTTGTTGTAGCGATTCCGAACTTTTAAATACGAAATTTGACGAAATTTCGGTGAATAATGCCGCTAAAAGCATCAAAATACAGAATATTGGAAGGTACCGTTTTATGGGGGCTATAAGAACCTGCATACGTGATTTTTCGTTTTAGGCTGTAGCATTACGAACTTTAAATTCAAAACTTAAAACAAATCCGCTAAAAAGTGTCGCTAAAATCATTAAATTACCGAATATCGGGAGGTATCGTTATATGGGGGCTATACGAAAAAGTGGATCTGCATACGTTTTTTTTTCGTTATAGGCTGTAGTAGCCATTACGAACTTCAAATTGAAAATTTAAAACAATTCCGGTAAAAAGTGGCGCTAAAATCGTCAATATACCGAATATTAGGAGACACCGTTATATGGGGGCTATACGAAGCCGTGGACCTGCATAGACATTTTTTTGTCATAGGTTGTAGTACCCATTACGAACCTTAAATACCAAACTTGAAACAATTCCGGTAGAAAGTGTCGCTAAATTCATCAAAATACCGAATATTAGGAGGTTCCGTTATATGGAGGCTATACGAAGACGTGGACCTCCATATGTGACTTTTTCTCATAGGCTGTAGTACCTATTACGAACTTTAAATACGAAATTCCGGTGAGTAATGCCGCTAAAATCCTCATAATATCGGATATCGGGAGGTATCGTTATATGGGGGCTACACGATGACATGGACCTGCATATGCGATTTTTTTTCATAAGTTGCAGTACCTATTACGAACTTTAAATGCGAAATTTGAAACCATTCCGATACAAAATGTAGGTAAAATGATCAAAATTCCGAATATTGGTAGGTATCGTTATCTGGGGGCTATATGAAAACATGGACCGACATGGCCCAATTATGAACTTAACCTGCCTTCTGGCAAAATACACGTGTGTCCAAAATTTTTAACCTCGTTCTCAACTCGTTCCAAAGACAGTGTGATTACAATTGACAGACGGACAGGCAGACACATAGACGGACATCGCTAAATCGACTTAGAATTCTATCCTGATCAAGAACATATATACTTTGTTGGGTCTGACATGAGTATTTCGAGGAGTTACAAACGGAATGACAAAGTTTATATGCCCTCCAGAGAATGGTGGGAAGTCCATTTTTCTCGGGAGCCGGGCACAGACAATTTAGGAAAAGAATAGTTCACGGAAAGAGGTCGAAGAGAAGAGGAAACCGCTCTTTGCTTTTCGAGCCTCTGATAAGAATACGAAGTTCTTTTTTCATTAAATTTTGAATTTCGATTAACTGTTTCTTCTCTCTCTCTCTGTTAAAATACATACCTCAAATATTCCGGCGCCGGTAGCTTAGCGAACTCCTCAAAAGATTTCTTCAGCTGTTGGCAATACGTCTCAAAGATCTCTTTGAAATTCTGATGACGCACCTCGGCAAAGTTTGATAAACCCAAGAATGTTGTTAAATCAATCATGGGCGATGCAACACGAAGTGTTTGCAAATCAAACATCATAACGTCTTTAGGCTCTGCATTATCTCCATCTTGATATTTATAAGCCACATTATTACGCAAATAGTCTCCATGACACAAGGTAACAAATGGTTCTTGGGGTTTCACCAATTTCCTGCCATATTCCAAAGCATCACTAAATAAATTAGCATATTTTTGTAAAAACTCTTCAGGTATGTGTTTTTGATACTCTTTGGTGACTTTAAGGCAACGATCTGTGCCACACTTTACTTTCAGTACCATTTGTGGATGCTCAAATTCGCTGGCATAACGGGACTCTAGAAGACCCTTTGTTAGCTCCGTAAATGCATCTTTGTTTGTGGCTCTTAAAGCAAAACCAGCTGCATGAAATTTGGCCAAGTACTTGACTGCCAAGAGGGTGTGTTCCAACGAAAGATTAACCCTGTCTTTGGCCACCCGCCATCCTTGGCTACCAAAATCTTCGGTTATGACGGTGGCACAATTCGTTTGTAAATCGGCGTAATAAAATTTGGCCACATTGAAGTTCACTTTGGCAAAATCTGCAATGGCCGGTAAAATCTTTTCATATCCCAATATCTCATTGATAAACAAGGCCTTGAAGTTGATAGCATCAAATAGGTCTTGAGGTAATGGTGGGGTTTTCTACAACAATTAAACCAAAAGAAAAGTGTTTAGTCATTTTTAATATCAATTGAAATATATTTTTTTTATATACAGATGTATGAATGTAAGTGTGATTGTTCAATCGATAAGATTCTCACATCGAATATTGCCTAGCCATGTCTAATCTTTGGCATGCTGATAACAGAAGGCCGCGTGCGATTATTTAACTGGCCATTGACGATATTGATTAGAAAGCAATGCCAATGTCATGTCTACTAGCTATGAAATTGGTTTTTTACTGTATGTAATAATCATTGAAGATCTTATATTCCCATGAAGATGATTTGACATATTTCACGGAATTACAAAATATTAAATAAATCATAACAAGCTTAAAAGCAGGATCGAACTTTGAATACCCTCCAGCATTTGAAACGAATTTGAAAATTTTCAAAAAATAAAATCCTTAAAAATGTATGTTAAAATTTTAACAATACCGAAAATAGTCCTTATATTGGGGTCTATACGACGTGGACCTACATAGGCATTGTTTGTCATAAGCCATTACCATATTCAAATTTTCTATTTATACCCTCAGCCATATGGCTACAGAGGGTATATATAATTTGCCTCATAGAAATAACTGTTTTAAATCCTAGGTCTCTTTGGACCGAATCCGTTTCAGGACATTCGGAGTCGATCTAGCGATGTCCGTCGGTTCGTCTATCTGTATGCTGGCTGGTGCGCACGATAACTCCAAACTTCGTACATCGTAATATAATTATCAAAAATATATCGAGTTTGGAGATGGGCGATATCGTTCCACTCCCCCACAAAAGGTCAACATTTTCAAAAAATATTTTACTGCACAGAAAGAGAAAGGATAATCTGATTTTGCTTCAACTTTGAAAATACTAATATTTGCATCAGTGCTAGGTGAGTTGCGAAAATTTTGAATAATTTTTATTCTTATAAAATTTGTTGTAAGAGTCCGATTATCTTCCAATCACACACATCACAAAATTTTTATTATCCGAAGGTCTGGTGTGAAGATGGAATGTATCGTTCTGGTACCCACAAAGAGTCAAAATTTTGAAATTAACATCGAATTCCATTCAGACTTGGTACATCTCAATATTTCCGTCAACAAAAGATCTGCTATAAAGATGATAGAGATCGGACCATTCCTTCTTGTACCTTCCCCAGAAAGGGTCAAAGTTTTGAATAACCTAAACGATTATAAAATCCGAAATAAGCATCAGGTTCTCTTAATTTTTCATGCATCTCAAAACTTTCGATAACTCTAGATCTGTTATGAATATGGTGGAGATCGGATCTTTCCTTCTGGTACCTCCCCCACAAAGGGTCAAAATTTTGAATAATTATAAATCTTACAAAATGTGATTTAAGTGTCCGATTGTCTTCAAATAACACACATCACAATATTTTTAGCAACCCAAGGTCTGTTGTGAGTATGGGAAAAAATTCAGATCGGAGTTCTGGTTAGGTAAAATAATGATATGTACTTAGTTTGAAGAGAATCACTGACTTATTTCGCATGCTATAAGGCTTACAATTATTCAAAATTTTGCCCTATTTCAGAGGAGGTGCCTGAAGGGGAAGTCCGCTATATTTTATCTTCTCATCAGATCTTGTGTTGGTCGAAATGTTAGGTTCTACAAAATTTGACGACCATCGGACTCTTACTTCCCATTTTGTTCGAGCTATGATTATTCAAAATTTTAACCCTTTTGTGGGAGGTACTAAATGAGGTGGGCCGATATTGTTGATCTTGACACCTGACCTAACAATGATACAAATCGGATGATCTTTTCTCTTTCTTTGAAAGTTTTGATCTTTTGTGGGTGAGGTACCAGAAGGAGTGGATCGATATTGCTCATTTTGAACTCGATCTAACTTTGATTATAATATTACGATTTATCAAGTTTCGACCAAATCGGATAGTCTTTCGAAATTTATCGTGTGCACCAGACAGAAAGACAGACACTGCTAGATCGGCTCCAAATGACTTGAAAAGGATCTAGTCAAAAGAGACTTAGGGTCTAAAACCGTTATTACGACATGGTCCATTTACAAACCTAACTTGTCTACTGTTAAAATACACACGTGTGCAAAATTATAGCGATTTATCTCAATTTGTTCGAAAGAGGGCGTGTTTACATCAGACAAACACTTGAATTTGCAAATTAGGTCTGTTATGAAAGTGGTTGTCCACTCCTTCTACTTGCCGCGAGATTGGTCACTTCATCCAAAATATTAACACTCTTATGCTACAATAAATTTCTGGTATATGAGTACAAAAATATTTTTCTGGGACAAAAAATTGTTTAAAAGACAATTTGAGTCTATCCAGCCATGATTCCTCGAAATAATAATTTTTCACCCTTCAAAGTATATCAATCCTTTATCAGCATAAAATTCTTGGTGGACTCAATCATGATTGTCAACCTGTCATCTCTCTCCTTGTGTTTTGTGTTATTTAATCGAATTGAGATGTTATGAATCTTTGGTCGGTAGGGATGGTCAGGGTGAGATGAAAAAACTGCAACCAACTTCAGACTGCTGTCATTTCTAAGCCACTCGTTTGAAAGTGTTGAACTGCCGAATTTGTTTTCCCCGATGAGAAAACATTCATTGTCCAGCAGTTTATAAACAAACAAAATTATTGTGTTTACTTGCCGAAGAGGTCAGCTGAAAATGTGCACCTTCGATTTTTCAAGCGCCGGCCATGGTGATGGTGTGGGCCACCATAACAGCCGATGGTCGCTTTCTGCTCGTATTAATAGACCGTGGCATCAAAATAAATGCCGAATATTATCGCGTAAATATTCTGGAGGGTGTACTAAAGCCATGGGCACGCAAACATTTTGGCCGCAGACCTTGGACATTCCAACAGGACTCAGCACCATCGCACGTGCCACCCAAGAATGGTTACAAAATGAGATTCCTCGCTTCATTTCCAGCGCACAATGGCTGTTTTTTGGAAAGCAAGGTTGGCACTAAAAATTCCAAAGTGTCGATCACCTTAAGCGACCAAAATACCGCAGAGTAACATTCGGGCAGCGTTTGACGTTTTCATTTGAAGGCCATAATTCGTGCCAAAGGTGACCAAACCGAACAAATCTAAACTTTTTCTAAAATTTGATGCTATTTGCGACATTTTATGCTTTCATTCAATAAAATTAAAAAAAATGTAAATAAAATTAAAAATTATGGAGTTGGACTTTGTTGCAGTTTTTTATCTCACCCTGTATAGCAAACTCAACGAATTGACATTATTCCCAGTGAAAAACCTGTCAATGTAGTCCATACTTTTGTATAACCCCCGTATAACAGTGCCTTTCGGTATTTTGATGGTGTCATTTGATTTGAGATTATTAGCGAGTTTATAATTTCTTGTAAAAACTAGGAAATTTTCATTTCCAATTAAAATTTTTCTTTAAAAAAGAATAACATATTTTCCTCCCTAATTGTCTATAGTTTAGCATTTTATACTTTTAGAGAGAAGTACATTTAATACCATTTCATATTCAGTATTTTGAAGACTTTAATTACATTTTCCTACTATTTTTTGAATTTTGACATTTTCAGTTTTAGGTTGAAGCTCGATATTGTTATTTTCATTGACTTACTTCTTTCTCGCGCTTAAGGGCATTAAAAGTTCTAATTTTTTGGAACTTTTTTTATATCTTACTCTAATAACTAAACTCTCCCAAATTACGGCAAGATCGAACCTGAGCTCAAACCACCAACTTTGTCTCTTTATTTACCTTCACAAACAAATTCACTTCATTCGTCGTTCCCTTAAAATCGTACACAATTTTCGTTCGATAACATTTGGTTAGCATAAAAGCTTCCTGCGCACCAATAAAGTCCACCTTAATATCTACAATTTGAACATTTTCCAAATCCGCATCCGCAATATTCTCAATAAGTTTACGTTCTTTTAACAATTTTGGTACAATTTCACATTTTAGCCATTCAATTTCAATATTTATGTCATTTGTTGATGCCATAGTTAATAATTCTTTTATTTTTTTTTTTTAACGAAAAGATAAAATACGACGCGTGCGATACAACGGAGGCAAAACAATAAACTGCTAAAATTTTGCCAGTTCGGAAAAGAGAGATATTTGATTAAATAAAATTTGGAAGTAGTTGATTAGGTGGGTTGTTGTTGCTGTTTGATATGCTTGATTGTTGAGTGCGAGCAAGCAGGGAGTGGGAGCATTTCCAAAAATCTCCAAATGAAGAATAACAATAACAACAGTGAAACGCGCTTATATTATGACAAGGGGCAAATTGTTGGAGGAACTGCTGAAGTAGTTTATTATTTTTTTTGGTAAAAAAAACAATTTCGAAAATATCGAAATTGCCGTTGGAAATTTTCAATTCGTATATGACTATGTCAGTTATAAATATTACAACGTGCCAGAATTAATGGTTCACTCTATATGAAATATGGTGAAATTTTTAATGTTAAAATGTGCGTGGGGTTCCAGATATAGTGGACCGATGCATTCCACCTCGTCTAATACTAATAAAAATATTGGGTGCAAAATTTAATGAAAATCGAACATTTATTTTCAATTTTATGCGAATTGTTGTTAATAAAAAAGGTTGAGATAAAAATTGAGATAATTCGAGAATCTCCGACTTGTTTTACAAGTTGTGATAAATATAGTTATTGAAAATTGTGACCCTTTTTTGGGAGGTATCAGAAGGAGTGTACCGATATGTTCCATCTTCACACCAGATCTTGTGTTGATAGATATATAGGGATGTACCGAATTTGAAGGGAACCGGATGTTGATGATGCTACTTATGAGCTTCATTGTTATTCAAAATGTTGATCCCTTTGTGGGAGAGGTACCACCGGAAGTGTTGATCCGATAAACACTATCTTTGCAGCAGATCAAGTGTTAATAGAAATATTGTGAAGCTCCGAGTTTGAAAGGAATCGGATGTTCATTTCCCGTTTTGCGAGCTTCATGGATATTCTAAATTTCGACCCGTTGTGTGGGAGGTACCGGAAGGAGTGGGCTGATATATTCCATCTTCACACCAGACCTTGGGTTAATCAAAATATTGTAATGTGTAAAATTTGAAGACAATTGGACTCTTATGCCATGTTTACGTTAGAACTTTTTGTAGGGTTAACCTATTTTGAGAGGATTTATTTGAAGTATAAGTAATGGATATGACAATTTTAATCCAAATCCAGTCGGTTAACCCATTATAACAGTTATAATTGCTCAAAATATTTACCCTTTGTGTGGGGAGGTACTTGATGAAGTGAGCCAATATTATTCGTTTTTGCACTTGACATAGCACTGACAAAGATCTTAGGATTTGAAAAGTTTGCACAAAATCGAATGATACTTTCTTATTCTACAGGGTAAACTATTTTCTGCGAACATTTCGAACTTTTGTGGTGGAGGTACCAGAAGAAGTGGGCCGTTATTGCCCATCTAATTTTGACAAAAATATTACCTCCTCCCACAAAAGGTTAGTAAATTCATAGAAAATAATTTATATAATATAACTCAAAAGGATCATAAAATGTCGGAAATAGTATCAAATTTTAGAATAAGTTTAGATTTGTTCGAATTGGTCACCTTTGGCACGAATTATGGCCTTCAAACGGACAATGAGACCGTCTCACGCTGCTCGAATGTAGCTTGGCGGTATTTTGACGCATTTCCTGCGAAGCGCTTGCTTGAGGAGATCGACACTTTGGTATTTTTTAGTACCAACCTTGCTTTCCAAAATAATCCTGACACAATAGTCCAACGGATTGGTATCCGGAGATTTTGGTGACCATTGTGCGCTGAAAATGAAGTGAGGAACCTCATTTTGCAACCATTCTTGAATATTTTCGCGATAATATTCGACATTTATTCGGATGCCACGATCGATTAATACGAGCGGAGAGCGACCATCGGCTGTTATGGCGGCCCACACCATCACAATGGCCGACGCTTGAGTTCTGGTGGCCAACCGAAGGTGCACATTTTCAGCTGACCTCTTTGACAAATGGACAACGAATGGTATCTCATCGGAGAGAGAGAAAACCAAATTCGGCAGTTCACCACTTTCGGCCAAGCGAAGCAACTCTTTAGCTCTTTTGAGTCTATTTTCTTTCTTTTGCGGTGTAAGTTCTTGCTCTTTTTGGAATTTCAATGGCTTTACCCCGAGCCATTTTTCCTGATGTTGCTGTTTTCTTCCGTCCATTCCTTGACGTCGGGATACGCTACCAGTAACACGGTAACGAGCGATGGTACGAGACACAAACGATTTATTCACATTTAAATGCTGGAGTGCTCTAACGATAGCCACTTGTGGTTTTCCAGCCAAATATAAAGAAATCACACTATCACGCTTGAATTCCATCACGAATAACTTTTTTCTGGAAAATTCTCACAGAAATGTTTTTGTACGCTTGTAAACAATATAATGAGCTGTCACTGGAATAATTTTAACAGCTGTCGGTGTCCCTGTAGATATATGGCTGTCCCTGTAGATATATGGTTGAGGGTACAAAAATTATAAAAGTGTTTTCATAAATTGAATACTATACAAGCGATATTTGTTTCCAATGCGACTTAGACTTATTTAAATAGGGTTCCATGGGTGGTCTTGCATTCCATTTTCATCAAAACTCACCTCTCATATAATTGGTATATGTTTCCAAAGCAACCTTTTGATTTTTCAACCTTTGTTCAATGAGTTGCCCATTTGTTCCCTCCCACATCTCAATTGAAAAACAAAACTTCTAACCATTTTGTTCCCTGTACATTCATTTTTCATTTGGATTGGAAACCGGCAGACCGACAGACAAACAGAGTGACATAACAAATTTGAATTAATATTTGCAATGTATGCGATAAAATGTCATTCATCTTATAGACATACGAATGTATGTAGGCTTGTATGGAAACCTGGCAATCGACCGCTGTCATCGTATCCCGGCCGACCAGCCAGCCACCCAGTTACAATTTGTTGCCTGTAATAAATTATTGAACTTTTAGCTAAGTTTTTCATTGTCAGAAAATTTGTGACAATTTTTGTTTGTTTTTTTGTTTTTCAATTTTGCCAGGCATTGTCAGGCAATGGGCCGCCTGTTGGCGGTGGTGTCAGTTAGCCAGCCAACCAGTCAGTCAGTCAATTGCCAGGTTCACTCTTTGCTTGCAAACTCGCTTGCATGCTGCCGAACTGAACAAGAGTTCAAATTAAATTTTACAAAACATAGCGAATATTTATGTGTGTCAATATTTTAGGAATAAATTATTCCCGTGACGAGAACGACCACGTTGACGGTGTGTTTGTCAGCCAATTTACATGGAATCAATTTTGAAAAATTTTCAATAAATCATCGAAACAGAAAAATATTATTAACGGCATAACGTGCGGAAGCATTGAGGGGAATTTTTATATGTATTTTTTGAATTGAATTGGTTTTATTTAATTGTATTTCACAACAGAACTGAATTGTTAATTAATATAACTTTGGTACACAATATTAAATAATATGAAATAATAATAAATTAAATAAAATAGTTCTAAAATATTAAAAATATGAAATTTATGGACAATTTTTAAATGATAGCGATTTTTTTTGGGAAATATTAAACCTTTTGCGGGGGTGAGGATATACTCAATTCACGAACTTGATTCAAGTTTGATAAGAATATTATCATATGTCTGGTTTGGGTTAAATTGGATACTATACTCCAAAAGTTATCGCAATCACCAGCCGCTCAAGCCTACTCAGACTGACTAATGGAGTTGCTTGGATCGACTCCAGATATTTTGACTCCAATGAGATTAAATTTGTATTCTAAATCTATTAGATTTGTTTGTTTCGAACATATTTGTGTTCAACGTCAAAGACCTAAAATGGTAAAGACTAGACAAAATGCATTTTGAGCAAATGGTTTGTGTCTACAATACATAGAGTAACAGCTCATGGCAGAGATATGTTAATATAAAAACCACAATTAAAGAAACGGATAACAAATAAAAATTTGAAAAATCCAAAATTTTGGTTTCAAAATTCTATTCCATGGACCTTTCCGAAAATTTGCACATTGCCTTAGCGGTTTAAATCAGTTAACATTGGTAACGATGTTGTTATGATATCGTAACAACAGAGGTATTTTCACAGGGTTACCATATCTTGACTCTGTCTTGTCCTATCTTTACACTTCTATGTCTTTGTCAACGTTTTTATAACGTAGGATATATTTGTACAGTACTCTTAACACCATGTTTTATAAATTATGGTTTGTGTCTTTACTAACAAGTGTCTTTTCTGAATTGAACATAAAGAATCCCATAGCAGTAATATTCGGCCATACCGAATCTTTAATATTTTGTATTATGTGATACTTTTGGGAACTCTTTCTCAAAGCAGGATATTTTTAGGATTCTTTTTTAAAATAACATGTTTATTGAGTAATTTTTTTTTAAAGAAATAGTGGTTTTAGGACACTTTATAAATGCACTTGTATACGCTTTTTTCAGGATCCTTCAAAAAAAAAAACGATTTATTAAGATTATCTTTTCAAGATTATTTTCAGACAAATATTGAAATTAAAAAAAATCAAGGCAAAAAAATCGTTTATTTTTCAAGCCTATGCTTTAAAGGTATTTTGGGGAAAATCCTGAATTATTAATGAAAGAAATTATGAACTTTTGAAGAATATTTTTAATTTAGTCATTAAAGTTCTTCCTGGACAAAAATCGTGGATTTTTGTAGGAAATAATTTTTTTGTTTCAAAATACCTCTGTAAAATACTGTATAGCCTTTTTTCAGGATCCGTTAAAAAAAAAAACAATTTATTAATAATATCTTTTCAAGATTATTTTCAGACAAATATTGAAGATTAAAAAAAAATCCAAGGCAAAAAATCGTTTATTTTTGATGCCTATGCTTTAAAGGTATTTTGAAAAAAAAAAACGCGAATCATTGATGAAAGATGTTATGAACTTTTGAAGAATATTTTTAAAAAAGTCATTAAAGTTCTTCCCGGACAAAAACCGTGGATTTTTGTATGATTTT